CTGAAATACATTTTTCTGATTTGACGTTTTCCTAATACAATACAGTACTTATTTTTATTATTTATATTTATAGCTGGGATCAAGAGACAATTCAGCTTGTGCAGACACTGACACCACTAGAGACAGGTATAGTAATTCACTGTTTATTTCATAATATATAGACTAATTAAGTAGATTTATACAGTCAGATGCAAAGTTTGAACAACTCTGGTTTGCATGTTTTTTAAGTGAAAAAAAAAAATTACCACATTCTCTACAGAGAACACAGAAATATCATTTTTTTTCTGCAAAATTTAGTGAAGTGTAAAATTTCTGTTTACTTTCTGAGTTTAATATATTAGGAAAAAAGAAACATGAAATATAAAGTGTGCCATAGCTTTTGCCAATAACTTGCCATAACTTTTGCCAACTTTTTTCATTATGTTAACTTAAGCAAGTAAACAGTAATTGTACATTAAACATGCAGAAGTGTGTTCACTGTAGGGGATGTGTGTTACAGACTGTAGTTTTTTTTGTTTACTTTAGTGCTCTTCATAGTGGATGCTCGCATCAACTTTGATACTTTTCGTAACAGCATGGTGGCAACAGCCACCTCAAAAACAATCATTACCATCAATCCAGGTGAGGATACCACTGTACTGCAGTTCTTTTAAAGCTCTCAAATCAAAATTACATTCTTAGTCAGTTGACATTTTAACTGAAGTGAGGTTACATCTGAAATCCCTTTTCTTAATATCTAGATACGACCGAAGCGAACCAGCTATTCAGTCATGCAAAGGAATTATCAGAAAGTGGACAACTACATGAGCAAGATGCAGAACTGAGTGAAAATGTTCCTTGTAACTGAAAAACAATATGTTTATGCCTAACGTATATTTAAATGAAATAGCATAACACTGTACATTGAATCTGTGCCATTTTATTTTATTTCTCAGTGGAGTCTATCACTGATGTGCTGACAGTGAAACAAATTAAAGCCAAAGCCCAAGAAAACTCTGATACCTTCCATGGTGTAATTTATTCATTCATTACAACTCTAGGATTAGATTCCTCCATTTCCAAAGGCATTTGCAGCAGGTGGTAAGTCTGAAATACTTGGAAGTAAAATGCAGCCTGATTTTCTGATGTCCATATTTACCACATAGCTTGATTTCTGAATTATTTGTTGCAGTGTCAAATGCAGATTTCGAGTCAGTGTGGACATTGGGACCTGCACCAACACAGCGTGTCCAAACCAAGGACAACCACAAGAAGTCACTGCAGACTTTGATCTTTGGGTGGATATCGCTGATCACACTGGAACTCTAAAGGCCTGCAGTCTGTCAGGCACTGTTGCTGAGAAAACACTAGGATGCACTGTGAGTACAAACAAGGCAAATCACCTTGTTTATGCCTTGCTTTTATTCAAAACCATAGGGTTCTTTGGTGCCCCAGTGAGTGGAGTTAAAAGAGACTGTTTTTTACTGGACTGTTATTGGTTGCATGGCATTTGTTATGCCAATTTCCACAGTACTGTATAGTAAAATAAACTTAGATTTTTTTAGTATACACAACAAAAATAACTAAAACCTATAGTGTTAAATAAACAGTGTATTTAAAATTTTGATTTCAGTGTTTCTGTGATGTCCCCAAAAACCAACATATTTAACAATATCTGCCTATTCCACCTACAATAGTTTAGCTCTGCCCATTCATGCTGAAGTAATAAGGAGTGTTTCAGGCTGGAATTCTTTTTGAATGAGCCACTGTACAAGGCAGCTAATCAGAACAAAGCTCATTTACATATTATTGGTCTTAAAGGCACAGTAACAAAACAGCCTTTTTAATTCTAAGGGTGTGAGGGATTTTAAAATGGTTATTTAAAAATTAATTATGAGCAGAGATTTGGCTGTTCAAATGACACAAATGTTATAAAAAATGCAAGGAAAACATAAGAAATGGGTCATTTAAAAGAACCAATAAACTCACAAAGTGTTTTGAAATACTTTGTGGGCATACCAAGGCAGGTACTAAAGCCTGAATTCCAGAAGGTTAGTCTGTTAACTCTGTTGGCCATCTGGAGACAGATTTATGTTTTGGGGATTGTCCACATTGGCAGGAAAGTAATTAAGTCTTTGGATTTTATTAACAAGTGCAGTTTCACAATCCACAAATAACCAGAAACTATGTAGGGGAAAAATATATGTCCTGAAGTGGTCTACTTGGAATGTGCCCTGTATTTTAACTCAAACTATACAACTGGTGTTTATCAGATCTACTCAAATAAGATGACAGAAGCAAAAGGAAAAAAAAACATGAAAACTGTATATGTAATTGGGCTAGAAAAGGCTGTTTACAAAGCACTTTGTTTCCATTGCAGTCTGAAGAGTTCATGTGTCTCTCAGAGCCTCAGCGGATGGCCATGAAGTGGAGATTTCTACTGGAGAGATGCAAAATTTATCTGAAGGTATAAGTGAATTGTGTAGTCCCAAGAATTAATCACAGCCTTTTATTTATCTAAGGGCAGTAAATAATTTAAATTAGTATTTTAAGTTTCGTATATCTGTGTACAGCATGGTCATGCATTTCTAGTTTTTAACAGCATCACAAATCAAGTTGGATTATTAATCACCATTATTGATATTGTTGAATGAATTACTATTATTACTACTACTACTGTGATTTTTATTGCATTTACTACCATGATTAGTAGTGTAATGCAATAAATAGTAATAATAATAATAATAATAACAACAATAATAACAATAGTAATGCAATAAATATCATGTTTAAGCTCCGTGAATCTTATGACAAAATCTTGTGTTTTGTGATTGAACCATGACTGTATGCATTGGAATGCACTGATTACTATTAATTAAAAAAATACAATCACAATACTGTTCACAATAATTAGTGTTTTCATTTTTTGACAATTACAGCTTTGCCTTGATTAGCTTTTATGCTTTTACTTTTAGAGTGGAATTTCACACATTTTTTCAAAATGCCTGCATAATAAAATCATTAAGATATAAACAAAGTCATTCAGGGTGGTTTGCAGTGAAAGGTGACAATCTAGTGAAGCTTTGAGTCAGGATGATTCACAGTAATTGTGATGAGACGTAATAGAACCAGACATTCAAAGGGTTTTATGCCTCTATAAAATGAAGTGGTTATGAACATATTGCCTAAGGCCCGACACATTGTGTTATTTCAGAAATATATTTTTTGGCTAAAATGTATTTTTATAAATCCATTCAAGAGCAAAAGAAGTGAGGAGACCAGTTTCTGGAGTTCTGGGAGAGGAATGTTTTCCCATTCTTGTCTGATGTAGGATTCTAGCTGCTCAACAGTCCTGGGTCTTCTTTACTGGATTTTTCAATTCATGATGCGCCAAATGTTATCTGTTGGTGAAAGGTCTGGACTGTGGGCAGGCCAGTTCAGCACCCGGACTCTTCTTCTGCGAAGCCATGCTGTTGTGATGGATGCACTATGTGGTTTAACATTGTGTTGCTGAAATATGCAAGGCCTTCCCTGAAAGAGATGTTGTCTGGATGGGAGCATATGTTCTAAAACCTCTATATACTGTTTAGCATTGATAGTGCCTTTCCAGATGTGTAAGCTGCCCACGCCATAGACACTAATGCAACCCCATTACCATAAGAGATGCAGACTTTTGTACTGTACGCTGGATGATCCCTCTCCTCTTGAGTCTGCAGGACACAGCTTCTGTGGTTTCCAAAAAGAATTTTATTTTTTTTTCCCATTTTGCCTTAGTCCATTTTAAATGAGCTTTGGCCCAGAGAAGACAGCAGTGTTTCTGGATTGTGTTGACATATGGCTCTACAGCTTTAACTTGCATTTGTGGATTGCACGGCAAACTGTGTTCACAGACAGTGATTTCTGCAAGTGTTCCTGAGCCCATGCAGCGATTTGCAGTACAGAATCATGCCTGTTTTCAATGTAGTGCTGCCTGAGGGCTCGAAGATCACAAGCATCCAATATTGACTGTTGGCCTTGTCCCTTGCATGCAGGGATTTCACCAGATTTTCTGAATCTTTTGATGATATTATGTACTGTAGATGGTGGGATATCCAAAGTCTTTGCAATTTTACATTGAGAAGCATTTTTCTGAAATTGTTCCACAATTTGTAGATGCAGTTTTTCACAGATTGATGGACCTCTGCCCATCTTTGCTTCTGAGAGACTGTCTCTCTAAAATGCTCATTTTATACCCAGTCATGTGAGTTAGTTGCAAATTGCTCCTCCAGCTGTTTTTTATTAGTACCACTTGCTTTTCCAGCCTTTTGTTGCCCCTGTCCCAACTTTTTTGAGATGTGTTGCTGCAATCAAATTCTATTGTGAATAAAATGTCATTGCCTTCTGTTTTTATTTACATTTATTTGCATTTTACACAGCATCACAACTTTTTTGGAATTGGGGTTGTAAATTGGCTATATTTATGTCATGAACTTTGGTTCCTATCACCACCATTGTAAAGAAATCCAAGTCAGTAAGTGTCTCTAAGGTGGAGCATTTCACATAAATCACTCTGAATGCCTTTGTTTACATCTTAATGATTGAATTGTGCAGAAATGTCAAAAAAATGGGTAGAACTCCCCTTTAGGGCTTGTAGTGTCTTTTCTCAACAGCTTTCTTTTTATCAGGTTTCTCCATCTACTAAAAACATACGTGGCATGAGGGCAAATATCCTTTCTTGTACTCTCGCTGATCCAGTGGAAGTGAAGCATGTCATGTCTGCGATGACCATCTGAATGTGTCCTAACTGATGTGGAGCAAAGACTAAGAAATCAAATAGTTGTAATATTTTGTGTGTCAAAAGTCAGACAAGATGCATATTTCATTTAAAATGATAGTGTTCAAATGGTAATGATTTATTGTATCATTTATGTGTTGAATGTTTGTGTTATATGGTGTGTATTTATGAAATGTTTGTTTCGCTAAATAAATAAATAAAACTGCTATCCTTGCCTTTGCTTTAAGGCGGAACCAATGTACGTTTTACGTTGTTTCCATGCGGAGGTATTTAGTGGGGTCATCCGCCTGGATTTGTTGTACTTGTAAATAATGTGGATTTAGCAGTTGGTGTTTTAATATTATTGCATTATTTCTTTATTTGCTTTGGATTACTCCTGCATCCGCTGACAGGTAAGAACAATTTAGGTCTACGTTTCTTGATCTAATAACGAGCCTCCGTAATTCCTCTCTACGTCTGTAATTTGGGACGATCTTACTGTTAGCTGTGGTTTCTGCTCCAATCTCTCATCTCTGATCCCCCTTCTTACAAGCTGCACACTTAACTTTGGTCTACAGAAACAAAAAGTTATTAACAAACTGCAGCTAGCTAACAGTGTTTTCTCAACAACGTCTTTTCTGTTTTCAGCTGTCCACAGATCAGGTCAGGACTGGTGTCTATACTGCACAATTAACCATGAATGTAAACCAAGGCACAGTCGGGAGTGACCCAGTGATCCTCGCCACAGCTGGATATGATCATACAGTGCGATTCTGGCAGGCACACAGTGGGATATGCACAAGAACTGTCCAGCACCAGGACTCTGTATCCTTTCAGTTGAAAAATTTATGGATAGACATTTTACATCAGCTTTTCGTGTTTGCACTGAAACAAGTATGTGTATGCATGTGAATAAAAGAAAGCAGAAAGCAGATTAACTGAGAAATGTCAAGGGTCTTAACAGAAAGTTCTAACTTCTGGATGGTGCTATAACAGAGGGGGCAACAGTGAGTAATGTTTGTTTTTGTCGTCAGTTGGGAACTGCTAAGTATTAACAGTCAGGAAGCAAAGACAGTTAATCAGCCAATCTGACCACTTTAGTCATGTACCTCAACAGCTGCATAAAATGAACAAGAACAATTATGTTGTTAATTGCAGTTATTTATATGGCAATTAATTGTCAGGTAAACTTTTATAATTGTGACAGGCCTAGAATTTACTGAATCAAATGTGTACATTTTTAAATACATTACTAAAACATTATTATCAGCTGAATTTTGTCTTTCAGCTTACTTTCATGTGCAAAGTAATCAGGTAAACTTTTATAAGTAAAGTTAAATGGAATATAAGTAAAGCTAAATGGAAAAGGAACTGTTGCCTAAAAATTATTTTATAGATTTTTAAAGACCAGTTATGCATAATTAACTTGTTGAGATGCAAACAAAGTCATTCAGAATGGTTTGATGTGAAATACTCTGTTATAGAAAGTAAGTGTTCCCAATAATGTTGATAGAAACCAGACGTTTGAAGTGTTTAACACCTCTAAAAGCTACCACACAGTAAGTTGCTACTTGAGGTGGTTACGAATATGTTGCCTGATGCCTAGGACATTGTTTTACAACGGTTATTGGCTTAAAACATATTTTTGTTAAAATGCATGCAGAGAAGCGTTAGTACAGTTAACTAAAACCATTGCTAAACGAAAATTAACCGTGAAAATATGTGCTCATTAACTGACATAAAAGTAAAATATACACTTTTCAACAACTAAATCAAAACTATAATGTTCACTGCAGAACTAACTAAATCACGACGGAATTACTGGGAAAACACTTAGTTTTAATTTTTCAATGCGTGAATAATAAGTGGAACTTCTGTGTTTTGCTGTGTTTAAGGAAAGCTGGAGCTGAGGTAACTTCAGTCTACAGTTGTGTTAATTTTATTCTACACTTATCAAATACCCACTAGTACAGGGTTTGTCTTAATACTAAAGAATAAAACTGAAATTAAATAAAAACTAAACTAAAACTATTACTTTTCATAAAATCAAAACTAAAACTATTAATGTAAATGTACGAGCAACTGAAACTAAAATTAAAAACCAAAATAAAAAACTAATGAATATTTCAAAACTGTAATAACCCTGATGCAACGTGGAGAGATACATGCTGGGCATTGTAAGGAAAAATAGTACCCAAAGAAAACTTTTTTTTTTAAGGATTTACCACTATTTTACCATTATCAACAATACATAAAAAAACAATACATAGTCTGAGTCGTAACTTTTTCTGTAATGCATATCGAACACTATGTTTTGACATTGTTTAAATCTCAGCAAATTAAATAAATGGAATTCCACTTTAAATTGCACTACCCAAGGGATGACTTAACTCCAGCATCAGCAGGTGAATTCACTGGAAGTAACACCTGACAGGAGCATGATTGCTGCAGCTGGTGAGTTTAAATTACTCAGTTCAGGCAAAAAATGTAAGCTTAAAGAAAAGCATATTTTCACTGTATGCTTCTGCTTATAGGTTATCAGCACATTCGTATGTATGACCTCAATTCAAATAATCCAAACCCAGTAATCAATTATGATGGCGTTAGCAAAAATATTACGTCTGTTGGCTTCCATGAGGATGGAAGATGGATGTACACTGGAGGAGAGGACTGCATGGCACGTATATGGGATCTCAGGTGCTAAAGACCTACCACCAGACCTGAAAAATAAATATTAAATATTAAGTATTTAAATATTTAAAGATATGTCTTTGAAATATATTGACACTCACTGTATTATCTCAGATCAAGAAATCTCCAGTGTCAGAGGATCTTCCAGGTCAATGCACCTATTAATTGTGTGTGCCTCCATCCCAACCAAGTAAGAGTGTGTTTAATACACCTTTAACTTTGTGTTAATGAGATTACTGGCCCATTTGCTGGCTTGTGCGTGTTTTATCCTCTAGAGGTGTTAGAGGTCAATTCATGTTTTGCTCAACGTCTCTCTATTTTTAAAGGCTGAATTGTTTGTTGGAGACCAAAGTGGTGTAATTCATATCTGGGATCTTAAAACAGACCATAATGAGCAGCTCATCCCGGAGCCTGAAGTGTCTGTGAACTCTGTACACATTGATCCTGATGCCAGCTACATGGCTGCTGTCAATAGCTCGGTCAGTGTCCCTATCTGTTTTTCACATTGTATACATGTAACAGTATTCTTTGTTTTAAATCACATGTAGTACATATGTAGTGCTGTTTGAATGTTTGCTGTTGTCTTCCACAGGGTAACTGCTATGTGTGGAATTTGGCAGGAGGAATTGGTGATGAAGTGACGCAGCTTATTCCCAAGACCAAAATTCCTGCTCACAAGCGTTATTCTTTGCGCTGCAAATTTAGTCCTGACTCCACGTAAGTGCAGCCCCATAATAATTTAATTTAAATAATGAATAATTACTTGTATGAACAGTAGCCTGTCTGATTTTTGGTAATTGATCTTAATTCTGCTGTAGATTGCTGGCCACCTGCTCTGCTGACCAGACATGTAAAATCTGGCGGACCTCAAACTTTTCATTGATGACGGAACTCAGCATTAAAAGCAACAACCCTGGAGAGACGTCTCGTGGTTGGATGTGGGACTGTGCTTTTAGTGGAGACTCACAATACATTGTCACTGGTGAGCATGTGGAACAGACACAAAAGGTTTAACCTTTAAATCCAAAATTGCTGGGGGGGCCAGATATACTGACCCTTTTTTTTTTAAGTTTCAGGCACAAATAGGACACTTTGTGTTCAAATGTTGGGTGCACAAGCACAGTATATGCACCATGAACATGGAAAAATGCAAAACACATATCTATCTCTCTCTCTCTCTTAAGCATGACTTTGAGGGAGAATTGTGCAACACTGGGTGGATACATTGTAAATACATCTGATTACACGTTTCATTCAATTTACTAAAGTTTGGGCAACTAGCGTGGGCAGTCGTGTTACTGGGAGAATTCCTTTAACAATAACAGCAGTCATAGTGGCTGGACGGAGGCACAAGCCTTAATCACATACAGAAAGAATAACTATTTCAGCACATTAACACTATTTCAGTAACATTTTTCAGCAATTTTTGCCTCCAGAGTTTATCTAATGACTTCTGTGGCATTTACTTCCTGTGTTCCTGTGTCCTAAAGAACCCCACCCAAAGCACCTCACAAGCATAGCGCATTTAGTATGTTGTCCTTTACACAGTTTAGGTGAGTAGCCATAGCCTTAGTTAATTAAAAACATTTAAGAAGAATTTCAGATGCACTGTAAGGACTGTACTGTGTCCACGTCAAGTCACAGTTTGTGCATCTACATACAATAAAAAAAAGTTTTAGTCACCTGAAACAATTATATTTAAAAAAAAATGGTTACTTGGTCATTAACTATTTATCTGGCTAGAAAAACACATATTACAAAAAAATGCAAATAATATTAATACAATAAATGATTTTACTTCAATGTGTTTAACTACTTCTAAACCTCTCCTTCTGGCAGCCTGGAATTATTTGTAGTTATGTCCAATGGGTTGGACTACGACAATGACCTTATTAAATTAAATCAAATGCACTGATTGAAAGAACAAGGCATAGATTCAAACAGGGATTCATTTGCATTTGATAAATGGCTCCCCAGTGGACAACAAGTTGGTTGTAACCAGTGTTGGGCTAGTTACTCAGAGAAGGCAATCCATTAGAAGTTACTGATTACTTCTCTCTAAACGTAATGAGATTACATTTCTTATTACTTCCTGGAAGGGTTTGGCCTCCCAAGAGAAAATACCCTATATTTAAATATTTATACTTTTTTATACTTTTTAAAGCTTCTCTGCTCAATAATGTTTTTTTTTTCCTTACACTGATTTTCAGCTTCTTCAGATAACCTGGCACGTCTGTGGTGTGTGGAGACAGGGGAGATCAAGCGGGAGTACAGCGGCCATCAAAAAGCTGTGGTCTGTTTGGCCTTTAATGACAGTGTGCTTGGTTGATCAGAATCTGTGACACCATCTCCTATAGTAGCTATATCTGATGGAATAAACAAGACTGATAAATATAATAATTTTACAGCTGTTCCTATCACTGAGTCATAATATCATTTATTACATCAGCCTGGGTTTCTGCATTGAATGAAGTGACAATGTTAAATGACAGTTATCACATAGATCAAAATAACTTTGTATGTAGGGCCACAGCATTATGACAGAAATGATAAATGTGGTATAATGTACAGTTGTATCCATGCATTAAGTTATGCAGGGCAGTCCGTATAAGTGCCAGAGATTCATCACGTACATCATGTGTATCTGACTCATCAAACCAGTCGCAGAAGGAAACATCAGAAAGTACATACAGGAGTCCGCGTGGAAATGTCAGTGATTCAGTTCTCGTTTGTGACGTATAACGGTCACATCTGAGATTGTCTGGCTCTGATTTATCAGGGATCTTGCTAAATGGAATGTTTTTATTGTAGCTTTATTAAAATAAGATCAGTATATTGCACTTGAGGCCAGAACACACCAATTCAATAGACGCCAACCAAACGCAAATGTACACTAGTGTTGAAAAGTTTGGAATCACTTGCCGTATTAAGAGGTTTTGTTATTTCATATACAATAATAACTTGTACAGTGTGAATTTAAATATTAAAAACGATTCACCAAAAGCTATTTTTAAGTGTTTTATTCAGTAAGAGTTTGGTAAACAATAAGACAATACTATGATCTAAACATTATATTGTAATCATATTTTTATGTACTTGTTTGACAAATTATCTGCATTGAGATTTGACAATTTAAAAAAAATATGATTTAATTTTGTTTATTAATTTTATTATAATTTCATTCTTGATGGCCTACAGCATACTGAGTGAATTTTAGAATTTTGTAAGGCTCTGTTCATCATTCTGGACACATCTAAAATATCTTAATTTTTATTTGCTGTTTTAGTGTCCTGCTAATTGTTAGCAACCCATGAGGTTGCATGTTAGAAACCTTTCATATATTTGTCTGCCCTCAAATCAGTTTTATATTGTTGAAAATATTAAGTGATTCCAAACTTTTGAATGCAAGTGTATGTGTAATTGTTCACTCATTCACACGGTCAGTTCCTTTTCAAAACATATTAAAGATTGCTGCCTACAATAGAATGTTGGTGTTTGTTGAGTCTCTGACTTTACAGCCTAAAATCATGAAAGTAGTATCATGTAAGTGGTCAATCCATGCTCTGTCCACAAGTGCATTTTCTCAACTGTTGAGGTTAGACAAGCTTTATTGAACTCTTTTAACTTAATGATAAATTGAAGTCTTGTTTCAATCCAGGCAGATTGGAAGTGACAACAGAATTTTCCATCAGTTTCTATCACATTTTATCCTTGACTTTATTACTCGACAAAAAGCATCTGAACTATCCTAACAGTGTAACCGTTCACATTCATATACAAAAATGAAAATTTGAAATTGATAACCTTCTAAATTTATGTTTTGACAAGGTGCCAGTGTTATGTAAACATCAACTAATGTCCTCTAAAAAGGAATAAGAAAGAACATACTTAAGAGCATGGATGGATGGAAGCATGGATAGGCCAATTACTTATGCAGATCAAAATCATGGTAAAAACTACATGCATTTCTGGTACAGACATGTACAGAAGTCTCTAAAGAAGTATGTGCTCAGTATAGTAGTCAAGTGATAGAAAAATAAAGTCACATTTCCGCTCTCTCAGCCATCTCAAATTAAGCATTTGTGATATGGCTGGCACACACTGGTATTATGGTCTTACCAGTCTCCCCCCAGGTGGATGCATTCTTCTACAGGGAGAGTTCACAGGAACCCACATTACCTGTTACAAATTGTAAAAGTTTTTTCTTTCTTTATTTCTTTGTGTACTTTTAAAACATGTTTAGCAACATTCCGGAAAAATACTGAAGGTACTCTGAAGACAAAAGACATCCAGTTTCAGCATATTTTGTCTGGTGTTTAGTTTTCCTCCATTAATACTGTTGTGCAGATCTGTGTGATACCAAACATTTGTAAATAAAATGGATTCCAGTGAAAGACAATATTTAATTAGATGGGCTTACTGTATTTAAATTGCAGTCTGTCAGTAATATTGGTAACGGACACATTTTTACAAATTTCTGTATAATTCAGTCGTTAAGACATAGTCATTCAGAGTGGTTTGATGTAAAATGCTCTGCTGTAGAGAAGCTTACCGAATCAGAATTGTTCACAGTGGTGGTGATAGGAACCAGACATCTAAAGCATTTAATGCCTCCAAAAGCTGTCTTATAGAAAGTAATAAAATGAAATGATTATAAATACACTGCCTGATGTCTAATGCATTTTTTTTACAGTAGTTTTTATTTTATTTATTGTTTTAGACTAAAACATTTTCAAATTCATTAAAGGCAGAGAGGTATGTGCAGGGAAAATAGGCTTCAAAGAAAACATTTTTTCAGAAATGTTTTACCATTATCAACATTAACTATAAAAACTCAGAAGACATAAGGTCAGTGGTGGTTTAGGATAGTAAATAAGATGGTTATGTTTGTGTTGCAGACATGGTCTACAACACATGGTCTTTGTGTTGTAGACAATGGTTTCTCACCATTGTAAAAGAAGTTTCCCCAGAATTACCCATTTCACATAAAACCACTGTGAATAACTATTTACATCTGAACAATTGTGCAGCAGTTTTGAAAAAAATGAATTGGAATTGCCTTTTAAGGTAACTGAACTGTCCATTTTAGTGTTTGAGCAACGTCTTTATAGAGCAAAAACAATACTCTAGTCTTACAACAGAGTCGTGCACACTCAGAGAAATGAATCATTCAGTATAATGGTACTTTATTGTAGACCAACAGTGCTTTCAGTTACTCATCTGCATCAGGTTACAAGAAATACAAGCAGCAACGAGTCTTTGAGTTGAATAATATGGAAACGTCTTCAGGAGAAGATGATGAATAGGACTTTGCAGCTAACATGACAGGATGCTTCTGATTGCTTTGTCAGAGTAATAGTCTGTTTAGTGCGCAGCATCTCTGCTTTCAGCAATGGCAACATTCTCCTCCATAACAAAGTCTGAGAGAGGGGACCGTGTATCTCCCTGCTGTGTTCACATGCTCTTAGAACGGAGGCTCATTCTGGCAGGTAGTAGAAACACACAGACACGCAAATGTTGCTGGGGAAGCAGATGTCAATGCAGAAGTAAATTAATCTTTCCTTGGGACCTGCAAGGAGGCGAGAGAGGCTCTGATCAGTTTGGTGGAATTTTGAGTGCTGGTCTTAATGCCAAAATGACCACACTTTCCAAGCCTTGTTTCTGTTAGTCACCGCAACTCCGGAAAAGGTCACGACTGGAGTGCTGGATTATGTTTCTTGGTCACACTTTAAAGGGCTCCTCAGTATGTGCCATGTACTTGGCTGGTTCTGCTTTACAAGCCTTCTAAATACTTCCATATTTTTTGTCTTCATGGTGACTAAATAATGAATAAAAAATGTTTTACATTTCACAAAAAAAATAGTTTGTAGTAAACAAAGCTTTCCAAGACCAGAGATGAGTAGTAGCTAGTAACTTGTGCTTGAGTAAAATTTCTTCTACTGAGGTATATTTGTAAGGAAGGTGAACAACTTTTTACTCAGTTCCATTTTAGCCATTCAAATAAGTTTCCAATAATTTTTTGGGGTTTAATTTGTGGGTTCAGCAGCTGCTGTTCTTTACTGTAGCTCACATGTCTCACTTTGAAGCTGTAGTATTTTGTTTTAGACCATAAAATTCCAAAAAGAGAAGCACAGAGACTAACAAACTTCAAGTCCTAATAAATACTGGATATACTAGGAAGTTCCTCTATGGTTCAACAGACAACTAATTGTCCTTAAGGAGATTTTGGATATTTATATCTTTCAGCTTACTATTTTGAGTCATTATTTCATGGACGTCACGATACTGTGCAAGACTAGTAATTAAAATACAAAAATCAGACCAATGGGCCTCTGCATAAGGTGGATTTGTTGTGTATCTTTTTAATTTTATCTGTGTCATTGTCTTATATGATTTAAAATTAATACTCATAGTTTTTTCTATTACTCTTAGGCTTTATCAACTGTCTGTAAATCCCTTTGAGCTTCCATTGTTATGACAAGGGCTCTATGAAAACAATTATAATAATCTCTTTATTATTATTACTGTATAACACCATAGTTTTGATAAAAATGATCATGTTTTTAAGATTTTCATCAATTACCAAGCATGTCTTTTCTCTTTTCTTTTTTTTCACTCAGTAGTTCTGAATATTTTAGACACATTTCTTTGATTCATCTTTCCTGTAATAACATTCATCCAGTAATGGTATGGGTCATGTCAGAACCTCTTTTGGCATAACCATGAAAAGCATACCCTGCTGATCCTTACATTTGTGGTTTAGTCTACTTGAGGTGCATTTATCAGTTCCCATGCAATAATTTTGTTTCTGGTTACTATAGCTGGGCAGCAACAGAGGACTTCTGGAAATCTGAGGGCCAGTTTCCTGGACAGGGATAAAGCCTGGTGCTGGACTACACAGCTTTCAGATGGGAGATTTTCCACTGAAAGGAAAATGTAGTGATGGACTAGGCATAGTCCTTGACCGGTAAACCAACCATTGTCTTCACTAGAAGATACACTTATGGTACTGAAGGCCTCACCATCAGCTTTCCTCGTCCAGTACACGGGTCCTTGCTGACAGAGAGTGTGCAGCGGCTCCTGGAGTGTTGAGGCTTCCACATGACTACCTGCCAAAACGCCCAGAAACTCAGTGTGTCTCTGAGTCTCATTTCCCACCAGCCAGACCTGACTCATCTGAAATTAAACACCACACACAGTATCTTAATGCATATCAGCAGAGGATGAATTATGGCTGCATGATGTCATATAAATACACTTATTGTTGTTCTGTTAAACACTGCAATTCTCAATGGCGTAATTGCATCGTCTTTGGTGTTTTCCTCCAGCACAAAAAAGCATTTGTAATTACTCCATTTACTTCGCAGTGAGATCAGATAGGTGCTGTGTGTTAGTGGTGTAATGCTTCGGTGAGCATGGTAACAAGCAGTTTATATCTATCAATAGCTCATTGTGCTCAAAAATGGAGATATTTGGTCCAAAAGGGCTATTTGAATGGGATGAGGCTTCTTTTCTGGTGAGCAGATTGAATTACTCAAAGTTTTCTAATGGCCTTAATGAAGTGAAATGATGCAAAAGTCTAAACTCTATCCCAAGATTTTAAGTGGTCTCTATCTGGACTATGATGCACGTCAAGTGAACCGTAACAACCCGTCCATTCTGTGCGGATCATAACCTGCCAAAGAAACACCTTGTTAAGTGCTGAGAGAAGTGTGTCCAGCACAGGTCTCGGCCCTGTTAACGGAAGGGCTCTTTTTTCTTCTCAGTAGTGACTTATAAGAGGAAAAAAGCCAACAGAGTGGCCATTGTGCACTCTGTGGTCCCATCCTGTAATGAGATCCATGGAAGGCGGATCAGATGTGCTAAGGAATTCAGACAACAGCTAGGCCAAGCTTGCCTGTGCGGTCCATTACTCCCTTTCTAGAGTCACGGAGGATAAAGGAGCCAAAAGAGCTTTCTAATCAGCTCAGGAGCACTGAGGTGGCGCTGTGTTGAAGTATCAATCAACCTGCCTGCTAGCACAGCATAGCAGCACTTGGCCATAGGTATAAAAGGGGCACAGATTTCCCCTGCCAGGAAAGGCTTGATATGTTGCAAGAACTCCATAATGCTTAAAATGGCTAAGAAACACATACCATAAAATTCAAATGTAGCAGCATTTTGAGATTGTTTTTTTAGCCATAGAGCCAGATAGGAGCTTTACACCACACCATGGCAGTGATTTGGTTGCAGGCAACAGCTGAAGGCGTGATTTCACACAAACTCAAGTGTTCTATTTATAAAACAATTTATAAAGAAGTAAAGGCGGGAAAAAAATGTGAAAACAGGTAAAAAAAAAATTTTTTAAAGCAATTAAGCACTGAATGTGTTTTTTATATTGGCAAAGAAGCAGTTCCTTCAACCACTGTTGTTACATGGCGACTATTGGTCAGAAGAGTTATAGGTGACCAAAATAGTGCTGTTATCAGACATAACAAAGCAACAACGCTTTTCAACCAATCAGACTGTGTGGGTGGAATGTATAATTAGTATAAAATGTTACCTGTTGCTGTGACTCATTGAGGAGAACATGCATGTTTTCATAATCAGATGTCTCCATTTGGCGAAGAAAGCAGGTATCCTGGTTGTCAGGCTTGTAGCATATTAACCCCTGAGTGAAGAAAGAGAGACTATATGAACTTTGGAAGTAATTTCATTCATTACTGAAGTTCTACTACAGCTACGAAACGAGGCTCTTACATGATTGATGTCAAACAGTACTGTAGAGGTGTGGTTTGTTTGCGAGGTCACATAATATGTCACTATATTGTTGTGTTTGTCCACTAACGCAGACTGATTGATCAAAGCAGCAGGGGGGTCAGGAACTGTGATTCGGACAACCTGCAACGAAGACTGTTTAGGAAAAACTTTTATCTTTTGCTTTTGTGTGCATAGTAACAGCACACAGTCCCATAGAGCAAACCATTACTGAATCTACTTATTATTATCTAGAAATATTACTTGATATTTAAAAGCATTTTTCAATTGCAATTAGTTCTAATTTACAACACTAACTTTTAATCCGGATACAGATTTATCATGATAAATCCTCAAAGAAGATTAGGTGAACTTGTTCTTCAGTAGGTGATCTTTAATACTTAACTCTGAACCGAATAATAAATATAATAAGCATGTCAGTTCTAATTTGAAAATGGTGC